TTGATAGAGTAATTTGAGAAGATAAGCTGGGCTAATTTATCAAATAAAACACTGATTTATAACTGAAGAAAAAGGAAAAGAAGACGATTCCAAATACGCTTAATTGATGTTTTCCGTAACCGGGTTGTTTAAAGATTAATAGTTCTTCATAGACGTACAAGACAAATTAGTCTCTCATTTTTGATGGACGGGACTCGTCATCATCACTATCATCATCAGTTATCATCAACTACAGCAACATCTCATCGGTCACCGGGACATGAAAAGCCAAAGTCATCATCTGCTTTTATGAGAGTATCTATTTACTTGTCACTTTTTTTATCAGTAAATAAAGTCAGATAGTAACTCAACACATCTTTTTCACCTACCTTGATTAATTATTTTTAACAAAGCGACAGGCTTTTAATTTTTATAGAATCTAGTGCCAAGCTTTCCAAACATTTGAATTTTTTAATTTGTTTGTTTCCCCTTTGTATAAAATATAAACAAAATAAAAGCCATCGAGGAAACCTATATTTTCCGGTGACGAAAAACTTGTAGCATGTTCAAGGTTTTAACCTTTGGCACCAGTTTAGAGCAAGATCAGCCGTGTTCATCTGGGCAGTCTAACCAGGTTCTGCACTGTCTGCTGAATAACTTTCAGCTTGGTATCCCCAAAATAGCTACGTCTTGTCTTGCATGACCTCAATCCTATTTATTGAGCCTAATTTGGATATATCTGGTCGTAACTTTAAGCTATGATGTCAACAATATCTAATTTCAATTATGGAAATCATAATGTCATTCTAGATACCCGTGCATAGTCTTTTGTGGGAGTATACAGTTCACGTTTTAATAGCTTTCTCACATGAACTAATCTGAAGACACTTGCGAAGCTCGGACCTACAGCGGTGAGAGGCAAGTGCTTGGAGTGGTTAAGGTCGTTGACTTCAAACCACTTACCTCTCACCGCTGTAGGTCCGAGCTTCGCAAGTGTCTTCAGATTATTTCATGTGAGAAAGCTATTCAGCTAGATTACGAAACGTCGATGGTTCTACTCGCGGTGCCAGTTTGTGCCTGAAATATACTGTGTTGGTGCGACGTAAAAACCCAATCAAAACAAAATTAAAACAAGGAACATCGCAATGCGATGCAACCAGGTTTTCAGCAAAATATTTCACAGAAGCTTTGTCATGAAGGGGCATTTGTTTTTAATTGAACTTTTAGGAGGAATTATGGCTTTTTTAATATTCCTCAAACAAAAATGATTGAGAAATTTTATGTTGTCTATTCGCCTTTTTTTCCCAAATGTTTTAGAAAGGTAAACAGTACTTTATTTTTTGCTTAATTTTTGCATTTTTGCGTCTCTTGTCATTTTCTTTTGTCAACAATATTGGCGTGTGGTGTTTTGTGCGATATCAAGAAAAGTATGTTCACAATTTTAAAAAATACTTGAATGATGTCTTGGAAGAAACATGGGAATTTAGTGAGCGCCAGGGCACTTGATGACAAAGCTTCTGTGAAAGTTTGGTCAAAATCCATTGAGAAATGTAGGAGAAGTTGCGCACTGTGGAAATTGTTCACTATATATTCTGTATAAGGAAAAAATATACAAAGGGCCATAATTCGGTCAAATATTATCCAATCACAAAACCCCGACAATATGTGCCAGGCACTTGATAACAAAGCTTCTAAGAAAGTTTGGTCAAAATCCGTTGAGAAATGTAGGAGGAGTTGAGCACAGAAGAAATTGTTCTCTATATATTCTATATAAGGAAAAAATATACAAAGGGCCATAATGCGGTCAAATATTATCCAATCACAAAACCCCGACAATATGTGCCAGGCACTTGATAACAAAGCTTCTAAGAAAGTTTGGTCAAAATCCGTTGAGAAATGTAGGAGTTGCGCACAGAAGAAATTGTTCACTATATATTCTATATAAGGAAAAAAACAAAGGGCCATAATTAGGTCAAATATATACCAATTGCAAAACCCTGGCAATATGTGTCAGGGCACTTGATGACAAAGCTTCTGAGAAAGTTTGGTCAAAATCCGTTGAGAAATGTAGGAGGAGTTGCGCACAGAAGAAATTGTTCACTATATATTTTATATAAGGAAAAAAAACAAAGGGCCATAATTAGGTCAAATATTATCTAATCGCAAAACCCCGACAATATGCGCCAGGGCACTTGATGACAAAGCTTCTGTGAAAGTTTGGTCAAAATCCGTTGAGAAATGTAGGAGGAGTTGCGCACAGAAGAAATTGTTTACGCCCGCCCGCCCGTCCGCCCGCCCAAAACCCTGGCAATATGTGTCAGGGCACTTGATGACAAAGCTTCTGAGAAAGTTTGGTCAAAATCCGTTGAGAAATGTAGGAGGAGTTGCGCACAGAAGAAATTGTTCACTATATATTTTATATAAGGAAAAAAAACAAAGGGCCATAATTAGGTCAAATATTATCTAATCGCAAAACCCCGACAATATGCGCCAGGGCACTTGATGACAAAGCTTCTGTGAAAGTTTGGTCAAAATCCGTTGAGAAATGTAGGAGGAGTTGCGCACAGAAGAAATTGTTTACGCCCGCCCGCCCGTCCGCCCGCCCGCCGACATACCTCAATCTAATAACCAGTTTTTTCCTTCGGAAAACCTGGTTAACTAGCTAAACATGACACGTATCATCGTATATAATTTATCTATTGTAATTAGCAGATTTAAAAGTAGAAATGATTTTTGTACCTTTTAATGTAGGTCTATGCAAGAAGCGTGTATGCAAATTTTCAGATCATTCGCTAGCTCTCTTTTTATTTTGCAAAATGACCTATAAATGAAAAAAAAAACGATTAAACGTCTTTAACTGTAATCGATCTAAAATTCGCATTATTTCATTCTTAGTATATTTATTTATTAGCTTTTTTCATATTTCTTCCGTTTTATAATGTAACAGTTGATATAGTATATGCATACGTCGGGGGTGTTGTACATGTACATTGTACTAGCTGCCAGTGATAGGGGGCGTGTACGGTAATTTGCACTTTCCATTACCGTCCATGAACAGGCTTAATCAAACCGAGCCTGCAATAATTTAATTTTGTCTTGTTGGGCTTTCTTTAGGGATTCTTTATTTCTCTCAATGTTGAGCTGACCGGGACGAGTCAATTTTTTTTGTCTGTTCAAACTTCTTGGACCTTTTAGACACTAATGAAGCCCCATCATTATGTATGTTGAAACAATTCACTATATACCTCAGAAAATATTTTATATATAACCATTGTTTCAATGCTAAAACCGGAAGTGATCCACATTTCCTGTCCGTATAGAACCTGAAATTCATATAATTTGACCAGACTCTGTGCTCTTGATATCTCAGCTTTTGTATATACTACATTAAAGCTTTAAAGTGAATTAGTCTAAAATGCTATACCAGAAAAAAATATGTTGATAGTATTTAGTATCATATGTGAAAACAAACCACGAAAGCATTATATAAATGTTCATATGAACACTTCAAAACAATATCAACATTTTTTCTAGAAATACTGTTATGAAAATATCCAAATGATACATTGCGGTTGTTTTAGCAATATTTGAAGTACTTTTGGAAAATGAGCCCATTGTGGACCAAACCACTTTTAGCTTTGATTAACTGGGCAAATTCATCACATAAACTCGGGAGGTCAAGGGCTTCTGTCCGAAAGAATTGAGTGATATTGTAAGATACTTCATGATTTTATAAGCATATTAATACGTTATGTGTTTTGTTGTACGAGTCCTGAAGCTATTGCCAGGTTCACTGGCCCATATCGCGTTTCCTTCCTTGTCCCTATACATGTAGGTAACTAAATGTTTGTTACAGATACGATTTAATACAATTTTTGTTAGCATCGCTGTATTAATCAAACATCAGACCGGTGAAGAATTTGTCTATCCACTAGGAGCAAACATATACTAGTATAGAAAGAAGCGATGGGTTAGAGGTTAAGATGTCTGCCCTCTCAACCCAATGATCATGAGTTTGAGCCTTACTGTGGTGACAGTCATAGCTGTGGACCTAAGCTTAACGCTTTCTTCACAATCGAGCAGAAATAAAATATCTTAAATAACAATTCTGTAGCTTTAAAGAAACTCCACTGACGTTCAAATGTCTAAAATATAAAATAGGAATTTCTTTCATAGATCAGCTAAAGCACTTTTAACAGAAAGAGAAGAAATTCACACAAATAAATTGAAAATCGTAAATTTTTTGCTATTCTTCAACCAATGCGATTAAAAAGCATTGCAACACTTTTCAATTTTGGGTTATTTTTCACATTTAGAATAATTATTCTGGAAAAACCAAGTGAGCAGATGATTTGAAATTGTGCATACATGTTATTCAATAAATTGGTCTAGACCTACATCAAATTGAACATTAATCTTGAAAAATTACTTAATCTTAGATCCGTCATGTCAAAAACCTCAGTGGAGTCCCTTTAAATTTGTCCATTAAACAACTGTCAAGTTATTCACAAGTTTGAATCAAATCAAATGTACTAAAAATGCTTTGAACTATTTGCAACAAAAAAAATGGTTAACCTGTTACAGAGGATAAACATTAGGCAATCACGAAATTCTACCATGAACCAGTGCATTTCTAAGCTAAAATGTGTTCATGTACATCATATGGTGTGGTGTTGGTAGTTTTCACTGCAGGTCATGACAGTAAGCCACATTGAATCACCATAATACACAGCCACCGCATCGTTCCTGGGCAAGCTGTCAGTAAGTTTTACAGAACTAATTGCCTTCAGTTTGGCAAGGAACAGATAACTTCTGTACATGCCAGAGCAGAGGTACAGTGCAAATAACCGTAAATAAATCATAACAAAATTAACCTGCAGCCTGCTGGAATTGAACTCGGCTCACCTGATTCACAGTCTGACTACCTATTTAGCTAACGGTCATATACATCATATCCGAGTATATGACGTATATATCAATCCGGTAACAAAATAAACCAATGAAAAACAACTGGCAATACAGTCATGTAATTGATTTTATTTAATGGTTACTCATGAAAGTCAAATATTCACAAGTTTATTAATTATATACATTGATATTGCATCTCCTTACTATATGAATTACAAACTTTCATCAAAAAAAACTTTTTCAATCAGCCTATATAGATAAAAATGTTAGAAACTGGCATAGTTATTACAACAATATCCTTTCCAAGTTAGAGAATGAAATTAAATACTTATAAACTCTTATACTTATCAGTATTATCCCCAACTTACATCAAGATCTACAAGTGAAATCAACAAAAAGGTAAGTAAATATATGTATATGTTATACTTAAAAATATATTTATAATGTCAATGTGTTCAAATTTAAAATGTTCAACTGAATGGATGTTGCTTATGAAGAGAGACCGGACACCACCCTGCACATTCCCCTCCCCCTTACACCCCCACCTTCCCAAAAAAATCTTTGCATACAGAAAAAAAAACATTTTCCAAACAAATCATTATTTCAATTTAGTAATGTTGTGTTACATACATACAGGAACAAATTCATAGACAAATAAATTATATAAACAAAGCCTATCAAATGTTGAACAGAAAGCCGCAATTTTTATCATCATTACTCAAAATACTTTTAAAAATACCTTGCATATGGTAATAATAATGTATACATGTATTCAAGCATGTAAACTCATATTGATTTTTACTATCTTCTCATTTCATTTGAATTCAATTCCTTCTCCCCTGACAATATTTTTCACGTATTCAACATCTCTTGTGAACAACATCCTTACAGACATAATCCTGATAGCATGCAAATCAATGCCCGGTAGTATAACATAAATAGGTGCGTAAAAAAAGCTCAAGATGTTGGACATGAAATTAATGTTAGCTTGACTATGGAACAGTTTATATATACAAGGTTGCTATATAAAGTCTTCATCGTAATAAGAATCATCGAAATCTCCACGACCCGCAGCAGCTATATCATTGAAATCTGAATCACGCTCCATCGTAACAATTCCTTTTGATTTCTTTTTTTTCTTTTTCTCTTGTTCCTAAAATAAATCATAATATTGAAAATATATTTTACAATAAACTAGTATCAGTATACTACCTAGGATATTGTTGTTTTTTTCCCCCTAAAAAAGTAACCATTTCCATCAATTCAACTCGGTCATTACTGTAAAAACTACAGTTGAAAGACTGTTTAGAGATGTTACTTCCAATGAAGCTCTGAAGAATTTCAACACATTGCAAACTTTATCCAAAAACACTGATTAAGCCAATCTCAACTAGCTTAAGATAAAACAGTGCTAGTTAAGACTCGGGAAATCCTGAACAAAGGCTTAGATGGTACAAGGCCAACAAGTACTGTCCATACGACAACGCCCTTGACTATTATCAGTGCTTGACAAGTAAGTAAAAAGGTAACTAAAGTTATGGGACTAGGTCTGTAGTTTATAAAACTTCTTCTGAGTTCTGTCTCAAATCTCTTGATTTTGATTGGACTCAGTGAACATTTTGTGGCAGTTTCTGACCAATCAAATACTTCAGATCTGAGTTTGACCTCAGAGAATTTCTTTATAACATTGGACCCTGATCCCATTATGTTACATGATCACAGAGCGTGTGTTTCAAGTCAGTAGTTTTGGAGATGCCAGCTAAAAGGCAAAACCTTAACCAATTTCAGTGCAATAGCTCTTCCTATTCTTCAAATTGTCAAGTTCAAGTTAAAGATTATTTTACAAGCTAGAAACCTATCATGATATCAAACTGTGTTTTACATACTTTTACAAAAAAAAAACAAACAAGAGCACTGCTAGGCCGGGCATTATATACCCAAAAGTGTTTTTTTTTTTTAGTAAGGATAAAGCATTTGAAAGACATTACATAAATTAAATAAAGTATTACCTCCTTCAAATAGCAATCCTCCTATAAAGTTTGAATATTGGAATATTGTGAGCCAAATGGAACTTAAATTATGCTCTGGAAACTGTTTTCAGTTTTGAGCTAATAGCGACCTTGAACTTAAACCTTGTGACCCCAAAATCAATAGGGGTGTTCTACCCAATATGGACAATCATCCTATGAAGTTTGAACACTGTGGGCCAAATAGAAATTAAGTTATGTTCTGGAAACTGTTTTCAGTTTTAAAGTAATAGTGACCTTTGACCTTGTGACCCCAAAATCAATAGGGGTCTTCTACCCAATATGGACAATCATCCTATGAAGTTTGAACACTGTGGGCCAAATGGAACTTAAGTTATGTTCCGGAAACTGTTTTCAGTTTTAAGGTAATAATGACCTTGACCTTGTAACCCCAAAATCAATAGGGGTCTTCTACCCAATATGGACAATCATCCTATGTAGTTTGAATATTGTGGGCCACATGGAACTTAAGTTATGCTCCAGAAACTGTTTTCAGTTTTAAGGTAATAGTGACCATGACCTTTGCCCTTGTGACCCCAAAACCAATAGGGGTCTTCTACCCAATATGTGAAGTTTGAATATTGTGGGCCAAATGGAACTTAAGTTATGCTCCGGAAACCAAATTGCTAACGGACGGACGGATAGACAGACAGACGGACGCCAGGGGGTATAACATAATATGCCCGAAATTCTTTCGGGCATATAAACAAGACGGCCATGATGGCCCTGAAGTCGCTCACCTGTATATAGCGCCCCCCCCCCCCCCCAGGGCCGATTTTAACCCAAGGGCTTTTATTTGAACAAACTTGGTAGACACCCATAAGAAGATGTTTCATGCTAAACATCTAAGCTCTAGCTCATTGGGTTTCTTAAAAGAAGATTTTTTAAGTTTTTACTATACACATATAGTTAATAAATGACACCCCTGGGGCGGGGCCAGTTTTGACCCCAGGGCTTTTATTTGAACAAACTTTGTAGACACTTACTAGAAGATGTTTCATGCATAATATCTAAACTCTAGCTATTTGGGTTTTTTCAAAGAAGATTTTTAAGTTTTTGCTATACACATAAAAGGAAAATCAATGACCCCCAGGGCGGGGCCAATTTTGACCCCAGGGCTTTTATTTGAACATACTTGGTAGACACCCATTAGAACATGTTTCATGCTAAATATCTTAGCTCTAGCTCTTTGAGTTCTTTAAAAGAAGATTTTTTAAGTTTTTACTATGCGCATATAAGAAAAATCAATGACCCCCAGGGCGGGGCCAATTTTGACCCCAGGGCTTTTATTTGAACAAACTTGGTAGACACCCATTAGAACATGTTTCATGCTAAATATCTTAGCTCTAGCTCTTTGGGTTCTTTAAAAGAAGAATTTTTAAGTTATTACTATATGCATATAGGGAAAATCAATGACCCCCTGGGGCGGGGCCAATTTTGACCCCAGGGCTTTTATTTGAACAAACTTGGTAAACACTCACTAGAAGATGTTTCATGCCAAATATCTTAGCTCTAGCTCTTACGGTTTTTTAAAAGAAGATATTTAAAGTTTTTTCTTTCGGTTGCCATGGCAACCAGAGTCCTGCATGGAATTAAATTCTTTGAACAATTTTTAAAGGTGACCACCAAAGGAACATTCCTGTGAAGTTTGGATGAAATTGGCTTAGTGGTTTATGAGGAGATGTCATTTAAAGTAAAAGTTTACGGACGGACGGATGCCGGCCGGACGAAAAGCGATCACAAAAGCTCACCCTGTCACTTTGTGACAGGTGAGCTAAAAACAAACAAACATTAATCGGTTGTCTTATACCAGAATGAGATTTTCAAACTATTACTGTCTAGATGAGACAATTTTCTAAGCTTACCTTTTGTAATCTCTGTTTTTCATGGAAAAAGGAACTGGTGCTTGTACTGACCTTTTTCAAATCATCTATATTTACTGGAAGTGAATATAAATAATAAACCTACTGTTGACGACATTTCAATATCAAAGTATGTCATAAACAGATTTCATCTCAATAATATACAAGAATTTGTAACAGAGTTACAACGTCCTCTGCCTCTGGGAAGTTTTATATGAAGCATAAAATTGTGCTATTTCAAAAGATTGAGATCTCAGGACTTTCAGTCCAAAACTATGATCAATGCTAGATCTGCAAATGCAACAATAAATTTATCAAAGAAATAAAATGAAACACGGAATTTAAAAATCTATCATGTTAAGCTTTGACCTCTAAGTGTGACCTTGACCTTGGAGGTAGGATTGCAGGTGTTGTGCATGACATATTGTCTTATAATGGTAACTATTTGTGCCAAGTATTTTCAAAATCCCTTGAACTATGAAGAAGTTATAGATCAGACACAAAATATACCCTATAACAGACTATCTTAAATTTTGACCTTTATGTGTGACCTTTAACTTGGAGGTAGGGACACATGTGTAATGCATGACATATCATCTTATCATTGTGACTATTTGTGCCAAGTATTTTCAAAATCCCTTGATCTATGAAGAAGTTATGGACAGGACACAAAATATACCATATAACAGGCTATGTTAACCTTTGATCTCTAACTGTGACCTTGACCTTAAAGGTAGGGGTGCAGGTGTTGTACTTGACATATAGTCTTATTATTGTGACTATTTGTGTCAAGTTATTTCAAAATCCCTTGAACTATGAAGAAATTCTAGATTGGACACAAAATATACCCTATAACAGACTATGTTAATTTTTGACCTATGTGACCTTGACCTTGAAGGTAGGGATACAGGAGGTGTTGCGCATGACACATTTTCTTATTATAGTGACTATTTGTGCCAAGTATTTTCAAAATCCTTTGATCTATGAAAAAGTTAGGGACCGGACACAAAATAAACCCTGTACCAGACTATGTCAATCTTTGACCTTCAAGTGTGACCTTGACCTTGGAGGTAGGTGACCGGTTGTTGCGCATGACAAATCCTTTCATTATTGTTAACACATGTGGCAAGTATTTACAAAATCCCTTCAAAGATAAAGTTATGGACTGGACACGACATATATTCTCAAATGGACAATGTTGACCTTGAATGAGCAAGTGCGACCTTGACCCTGGAGGTAGGGGTTTGGTTGTTGTGCATGAAACATCGTCTTATTATAACAAACATTTGTGCCAAGTTATTTAAAACTCCTTTGATAAATAAAGTTATGGACCGAACACAGAAGTGTGACGAACGGACAGATGGACCAACGGAGCCTATTTCTATATCCCCCTTTTTTCTTCGAAAAGGTGGGGGACAATTAATGTGCTGTTACATTAAACTTCACTAAAACATCAATGTATATTTGGCAGGTTTTATGCTGATTTTTACAAATTTATTTGCTCATATCTCTGTGCTCAGTCCACTTAACCAGCTTTCCTTGATAACTAACGAGCAAACACTGTATTACAAATCTCATGCTTTGCTTCTGCAAAGCAAATCAACAATGTATCTATATCAGACAACAAAAATTGATCATACCAAATACATCAATAATTACTTACTTTTAAGTATTAATTACTTGTAATTCTTTTTCATATTCTATTTAAATGCTTTCAGTAAAAAACATGTTCTTTTCATACATATGTTAATTAATGCCCATAGCATTTTTTTGCCTACCATTCATTGTCATCACTGCTATGAAATATGCTTTATGCATATGTTTGCTTTATGCATATGTTTTTGGTGAATTTTCATAATTTCTAGACATTTAATCAGAGTCAAAATTATCAATTTTCTAAAATGTGTACCAATTATTGATTGGCAGTAAAATATCATTGATACATCAATTTAATTTCTATCGATGACAGCTCTATCAAAAAGATACAACAAAACTTGTGTTGAGTACTACAGTAACAGTAAAAATTTCCTCTCATAATACTTACGATCAATGATAATGTCTTGCATTAATTTTTCTATAAATGTGCCATAATTTTTTGAGCTCTGAAAAATAAAAATAGTAACTACCAGAGAATCATATTACCCTGAGGTATAAGTAATTAACAGTAAAGAAACCATGATCCCTTACACACGAATGTCATTTGTTTTAATTTTCACACTCTTTGCATACTGATTATTCATTTTTAACATGACAATCTACATGTATGTTATAATCAAGGAGAAATACATCTTAAAATATCCTTGCACTTTTACACATGCTTTAGTTATTTTCTTTGAATCCATATGCAAAATAAAGATATCAGTGAATATTTAATATTTCAGTACAGAGGTGCTCTTAATTTGTGACATCACAGTGCTTAATGTTTTACTTTAGGAGAGTGGTGATAGGGTCCACAGAGGGGACAACTGCATCGAAGAGAGGGAAAATTAAAAAAGATAAAACAGTCCATTTAATGTTAAAATTGTGAGACAATATCATTACCTTTTCAAACAACACTGTCCCTCTTTGTCAAACTGTTCTGATAAAATGGATCTTACAAAAGAGATATCTTTTTAAGAAATACTTTTTTGGGGAAAAAAACCCATACTTTTTTGAAAAAGGGAATGGGCCATATTTCAAACCCAAATTGGCCATAAAAAGCATTATACATACTTAGCTACAAAAGAATTTATTCATAAAAGACAACTTGACCAGCTAAGAGTTAAAGGTTGATTCAATCATGTACTTACACTAAAACTAGTTATTTTAGATTTTAAGGCATCTCGAAATTTGTTAAAATCTTCTTCTGTTTCAGGAAACATTGCATCTATACCAGAGGACTCCACTCCTGAAACACAAAGCCTTCTTTATCTACATGTAAACTCCTACAAATAATATTTTGTAAGTGTTTCTATTAAAATAATTGATTAAATTTTTTCCCTTATCTGATTATAAGAAGAAGGTTCCAATGTACTATAATGCTCAACTCATCTAGTAAATGTATCTTTAGAACTTTCTGTAACCTAGATTGATAATGTCATAATATAAAATAAGTAATTAAAAGTAGTGATCAAACGATAAACATAATGGTTGATGGCATTCTCATGTTGGCAATGATCAAATGCAGAGCTGCCAACTCCAGTTTCTTAAACTTCAGCAGTTTGTCCTTTATGTAGTTGTGTTGGTACAATGAGTCAAACTGAGAAAGTTAACAATATGGCAGAGAAAAAACAGACTAACCACCCAAAAAATTTGTTCTTGTATCTTAACAATAACTGGATTGACAGTATTATATTTTTCGACTGCGACTATATGAAAAAACAGGCATGTTCGATGTCATAAGGAAATTTTGCTTCAAGTCATAGTCACTTATGGGTATGTATCCATACTGCATAGACCTGATTTGATTCTAATAAATTCATTTGAACAAAATTAACGAGTATTATTGGCCATACAAATAAGCTTTTTCAGAAGTGATTAAAAAAAACAGACAAAAAGGCTACATATAGTCATTCACTAAGTGAAAAGTATAAAGTGAACCTAATTCAATTTGTACATGTACATCAGTCATCTGTTCTTAAATTAGCCAACTCTCAACACTCTTGCAACACACAGTCCTTTAAAATAAATGCTATACCAACATCAATGCTAAGTGAGTAAAATAGCCCCACTATTCTAGTTCAGTTAAAAATTGTCATGAAAAACAATACCAAAGGCTTCCTTTGCCAGTTTAAGATCAGACTCTTCCTGAATTTTTCTCAATCTTTCTGCCTCAGCATATTTCTCCTCTTTTGTCTTTTCTCTATTCTCTTCTTTCTATGAAATTATACATTATATCATAATAATTATATTTATTACAGTACTTCACATTAAATATTTTGTTACAATGATTTCATTAGACAGTTGTGGTGTTTGTATTATCATAGCTGCTGAAAAGTGATTAAAACTAGAAATATGTTGTGAACTTGTCATGCCACGGATGCCCTCGCATGCACCCACATTTCAGATGTTATAATATTAAGTTCCAAATTAGTTTTAAAAACTGTTGTTTTTTTTTATTTTAAGTTCAAAATTAAGCCCTTAAAACTATTCAATGTTAACACAAACCATTTTTTTTTTTAAAGTTCAAGGCACTGACACAATTCAGTGTTAACTTCTTGTAAATTGCAAATTGCATATTTGTAGCCAAAATAATGACTACATACATTTCCACAAAAGTACTATGAGTGCTGAAACTGAAAATTCAAAAATTTTCCAACATTCAAGAGAGATAACTTTGTCCAAAATCATTGAACCATGACCAAATTCAAACTTGAACTGCTTATTCATAAGATGTATCTATATGTCAAATTTGAGTTGAATGTGTACAACCGTTGGGTATATATTGAACGGAAACTAAAAAATTCTGACTTTTTGCAAAGTTCAAGAGGGATAACTCTGTCAGCTGTCATCAAACAATGACCAAATTTGAACTTGACAAGTGTATTCTTATAACATATCCATATGTTAAATTTGAGCTAAATATGTACAACTGTTATGGAAATTTCCTTTTTTTTTTAAAGTTAAAGGGGCATTTCTCTGCAAAAAATCACCGAACCATGACCAAATTCGATCTTGACCTGCGCATTCCTTTGACATATCCATATGCCAAATTTGAGTTGAATGTGTAATATCATTGGGGAGATAATAAACGGAAACTGAAAATTTCACATTATTTTCAAAGTGAAAGGAGGATTACTCTGCCAAAAATAATCAAACCATGGCCAAATTCGAACTTGACCTGCATATTTCTTTGATGTATCCATATGTCAAATTTGAGTTGAATGTGTAATACCGTTGGGGAGATAATGAACGAAAACTGAAAATTTCATAATATTTTCAAAGTGAAAGGGGCATAACTCTGCCAAAAATCATCGAACCATGGCCAAATTCGAACTTGACCTGCCCATTCCTTTGGCATATCCATATATTAAATTTGAGTTGAATGTGTAATACTGTTGGGGAGATAATGAACGGAAACAAAAAATTTCATATTATTTTCAAACTGAAAGGGGCATAACTCTGCCAAAAATCATTGACCTTGACCAAATTCTAACTTGACCTGGGAATTCCTTTGATGTATCCATATGTCAAATTTGAGTTGAATGTGTAATACTGTTGGGGAAATAATGAACGGAAACTGAAAATTTGATCAAGGGGAATAAAATCATCGGACCATGACCAAATTCGAACTGGACCTGTATTTTCCTATGATATATCCATGTGTCAAATTTGAGTTGAATGTGTGCAACTGTTACTAAGATAATGAACAGAAACTGATGATGATGGAATGACGGAAGGCGGGGGGGCATAAAAATCTTAGTATTGAAGATAGCGACTGTTTTGTTTCTGGTGTTTTCTGGTTGGGTTTTACGTCACATCAACACAGTATAGGTCATATGGTGACTTTCCAGCTTTTAAATGTTTGAATAATGAGCTACATTAAAGTTTTTGCATGACAACAACAACAATGATGCCGCAGTGATCATAATAGCTCAACTTTTTTTTATAAAACAACCTAAAAATGGTTGTAAACCATATTTAATTGGCTGAGCAGCATATCAGTTTACCATTAAGTCTTTTTTTGCTTCAGGGAAATACATTGATGCTGTAACTGGGATAAATTCTGATTGCTATTGTAAAGAGAACATGAATTCTAAACATCCTTAACTATGTTGTTTAGCACTTTTTTGCATACAATACAATCATTAGGACCTATGCATAGTTCAGTTTTTTTTAAAACTTAGAATGCATTCTATCAAATCAAAATTGATGCCAAAATTAAATGTATTAACTGTTATCCCTTTGTGAATCAATCTAACTGTACCTTAAAATTAATGATGTATTATACCATGATGCACAGCAACACTGACACTAACAAGAGCACCGCTAGGCGGAGCATTATATGCCCGAAAGTGTTTTGTCTTTTTAGTAAGGATGAAGCATTTGTAAGACATGGGAATTAGATAAAGTATTACCTCCTTCAAATAGCAATCCTCCTATGAAGTTTGAATATTGTGGGCCAAATGGAACTTAAGTTATGCTCTGGAAACTGTTTTCAGTTTAAGGGTAATAGTGACCATGAACTTTGACCTTGTGACCCCAAAATCAATAGGGGTGTTCTATCCAATATAGACAATCACCCTATGAAGTTTTAACACTGTGGGCCAAATGGAACTTAAGTTAGGGTATGGAAACTGTTTTCAGTTTTAAAGTAATAATGACCTTGACCTTTGACCTTGTGACCCCAAAATCAATAGGGGTGTTCTACCCAATATGGACAATCATCTTATGAAGTTTGAACACTGTGGGCCAAATGGACCTTAAGTTATGCTCTGGAAACTGTTTTCAGTTTTAAGGTAATAGTGACCTTGACCTTTGACCTTGTGACCCCAAAATCAATAGGGGTCTTCTACCCAATATAGACAATCATCCTATGAAGTTTGAACACTGTGGGCCAAATGGAACTTAAGTTATGTTCTGGAAACTGTTTTCAGTTTTAAGGTAATAGTGACCTTGACCTTTAACCTTGTGACCCCAAAATCAAAGGGGTCTTCTACCCAATTTGGACAATCATCTTATGAAGTTTGAACACTGTGGGCCAAAATGGAACTTAAGTTATGCTCCGGAAACTGTTTTCAGTTTTAAGGTAATAGTAACCTTGACCTTTGACCTTGTGACCCCAAAATCAATAGGGGTCTTCCAACCAATATGGACAAACATCCTATGAAGTTTGAACACTGTGGGCCAAATGGAACTTAAGTTATGCTCCGGAAACTGTTTTCAGTTTTAATGTAATAGTGGCCTTGACCTTTGACCTTGTGGCCCGAAAATCAAAAGGGGTCTTCTAACCAATATGGACAATCATCCTATGAAGTTTGAATATTGTGGGCCAAATGGAACTTAAGTTATGCTCCGGAAACCAAATAGCTAACGGACGGACGGACGTACGTACTCACAAAATGGTACTTATGTGACTTTTCTTTTGATCTTTTTGGCCATTTTTAGTCACACAAGGCTTAAAAAAAGACACACAAGTAAAAACGGAATGAATAGGATCAAAGAGAATTTACTGTTACCCATTGTTCTCCAAGTCACACAAGTACCTCTGGGTTCGTATGGACAGACAGACAGACTGACGCCAGGGGTATAACATAATATGCCTGAAATTCTTTTGGGCATATAAAAAGCAGAAATATTACATACCTCAGCTGCCTCCTTTGCAATCCTTGCAGCCTCTTTTTCAGCAATTCTTTCTGCTAAAGGTTTCTTTTTCTTCCTTTGCACTGCTTTTACTCCACCATCATCTTTAAGTATCAACAAATAGAGAAGTTCTAATATCTTTCTTATATAATTACTTATGTTGTATTAAATCATGTTCCATTCTTACTTGCACACTGAATTTGTATAATATTACAAAATGTATTTTTATTTCATACCAACATGGACCGCGTACAATACTGGTTGGGAACCATCAACCGGACATTTTAATATTTTTCTATACAGATTTCATAATTTTAAGCTTGAGATCTGAAAATTTAACAAAGTACAGATGTCAACTAAATGGTTCACACTAAAATACCAAGTGTCCAGACAGATGTGTACATAACGTCGATTTATTCCAGATAAAAGCTTAGATGTTTAATTTTTTTACAATATTTCAGCAACAAAAGCTGAAATTTCGGATATTCTTTTATTTACTCTGCAAATAATTTATATACCATTATAGCACAGCTGGTATAAGAGGTCAAACATGCTACATTGCTCAATACTGGAAATCTCTGTATTTCCCTGCATATATATATAGTATCCTATACTCATTTGTTTGGCTGAGTTAAGCACCATCTTACAACAGTCACACATTGGAAGTCAGTTATTACCTAATTTCAAAATTAACGTGTTAATTAGCAAGCATCATTTGAAAGCTATGACTTTAGACTTAAACCTACTGCTTTGTTAAACCAAGGAAAACCCTTTTATATATAAAAAAAACCCACACACATACAAGAGTATAATCAAAGTATTTCTGTCACACATCTCCAGTATTAATACATTATGTACCAGCATTAACTTGTTCTTTTTTCAACTGTTATCTCAATGAACCAGATGCATAGGATAAAACTATCATAGGATAAAACTATCATAGGATAAAACTATCATTTTGATCAACTGTTGTCAAACAAAATACACATTTCTTGACTGGCATCCAATGGTAATCATTCTTACATAGTTTATATGCCATGCAAAGTCAGATCAGTAAACATATAGCTCACCTTCCTCCTTTTTCTTGTCTTCGTCCTCTTCGTCCCAGTTATCCTAAAATACATGAACAATTACTAAATTAATTGACATCAAATTACAATATTATATCTTGTATTTTCTGTTGATATAGGGACAGTCTGGCACAGCAGATTGTGAGACAGTGCCGATCATATAACAAGTTCATAACCATAAAATTACATGTATGTCAAATATTATTGTTTTGATTACATTTTATCCCTTTGTTGTTTGAAATGATAATGATGTTTTCTGTTCCTAAAATTTTCCCCTCCATGTTCAAATTTTCCCTCTCCATGGGCCCTCCCAAAAGTTAATTCTTATCTTTGAGATACAAATCAAAGAAGTATTTCAATCAGAATTCATCAAAAGAATTACAATCCAGTGAGTGACAGGTGTTTAATTTCCATACATCAAACCTGTAAAGAAAATGGTAGGCTTAGATCTAATATCTACAAATGTATTTAATGTATAGTATGGTCACCAGTCCTCGTGCAATTTGAGAAGTTATCGACATTCTAAATTGAATTAATCAGTGTTTTTTTTCTTCCATTTATCTGGAAATGGTTTAACCTTTTACCGCATGAGCAGATTGTGAACAAGAGCTGTCCGTAAGACAGCGCGCTCGACTTTTTTATTGCTTGCCAATAAAAAAAGTTTTTGCAGTAAAAGGCAATACAAGAATCTCTGTATTTTTAAAGTGAACAATGGCCATGAGCATTAAGATATTTAGTGAAGAATTATTTTACTGAATTGTGTGATACTCCAACTTTCAAATTAATATCTCAAACAGTTCAGTCAAAAAGTGGACTGGTACTAAAAACTTAACCAAGATTCTAAGTCGATAAAAGGCCTTAATTTTTAAAACAAATCCTTGACAGAGTTACCTTCTCTTGCGTACAGATGGGGGTAATGATGTGAAATAGCATTAAAAGTTTCAAAGCAATATCTCAAAGGGTTAAGGCAATAAGTGGATTTTACCCATATTCAATGTATTTTCTAAGTCAAAAAGGGGCATAATTCTGTCAAAAACCTTGACAGAGTTATGTCCTCTTGTCTGTTGATGAAGGTCGTGATGGTAAACAAGTATGGTCAGTTTCAAAGCAATACCTCCAATGGTTTTGAAATAAAGTGAGGTGGTACAAAAAACTTAACCAAGCTCAATACACTTTCTAAGTCAAAAAAGGGCCATAATTCTGTCAAAAACCTTGACAGAGTTATGTACTCTTGTCTGTAGATGGAGGTTATGATGGTGAACAAGTATGGTAAGTTTCAAAGCCATACTTGTAATACTTCTGAAATAAAGTGGGGTGGTACGAAAAACTTAACCAAGGTGTGACGCCAACGCCGACGCCGACGCCGGGGCGAGTAGGATAGCTCCCCTTTTCATAGAAAAGTCGAGCTAAAAATGGCCACTTTCATTGAAAAGCCTCCTGTTATGAGCAGTTCAAACTGCTATGAAATTATGAAAAATGCTTCAATACTGATGAAACTTGGCACAAATGTTCACTGGACCAAAGCATTTGTAAAAGCACACACAGTTTTAAATTTCCTATTACCATGGCATTGAATGGGTGTTACGTCTCAAAATTGCCAAAAATCACTAATTTGCATTGGGTTTTTTTTTCATCAAAACTGATTTCAAAGTGCAGCAACTTCTCAAAGGATTGAGATGGAGTAAAAGGCTTTTTAGCGTTGGTTACATGTTATACTCAACATCACTAATTCCGCGTCATCATTTATTTCACGGTAATGGCATATTTTCATGTGACCATTGTTAAAATGGTCTGAATTGACATATTTTTTTCATACAATAAAACAACAAACTTTTTTTTGCAAAATATTTTAAATCTCTAGATTTTTACTTTAAACAGAACAACATTTTACAAATTTCTGCAAAAAGCAACAATAGTCCATTAAATTTGTGTGTACAACTGAAACAATCATCATTTCTAAATGTTCTTGTTAGTTGAAAAAAATTAATTTTGACTTACAAAGTAAGGATAGTTTTAATATTTAAAATCACGTAAAATAACACGATAAATTTTAACTGAAACATAAAAAATTGAAATGTAACACCATTTCCGCGATTTAAATGATGTCACACTGTTTTCAAAATGGCTGACATATGGTCTACGTTTGGGCCATTAAAATTGACTTTGACTGAATATATTGTTGTTTCCTTGTGTCATACAGCAGAAAATACCTAAATGTTACAGTCTGCGAAACAAGGCACAGGCCCGATGCCTGTAAAATCCAATACGGCTTCTTTTTATTTTGAAATTGAATTTATTATGTTACCGTAATATTAAATTTCAAATACCTGCATTTTATATAAAAAATGTAAATTTACTGCGGATTTCGTCAAGTTAATTTTTTAATCGTCGTTGTAGACAGATAGTCTGTATCTTTAAAAAATAAATTAGATATTTGAATTAAACAAGTATTTTTCTTGACAATAAACTTTAAATTTCCAAAGTCGGATAATAAATGGAAAAGCTATATGGTATTTTGTAAAGTAGGTATCTGTTGCAAACGGGCATTTTCGCTTAGCGCCAGTAAATAATCGATCGATGTACCTTTATCAGGTGCGCGACAAGATATTTAAGCATTTATATAGGGTTAACTGGGAGTGTCCGATCCCTGTAATAAAAATCCCTGCCGTGAACTAAGAGGAGCACAGTTTACCTTAAGAACCACCTAAGGCCATTTTTATCATGTCACATGTCCAAAATTCTCTTAGCGATGAGGGTGCTACTATCCCCCTTCAAACCCCCTAAACAGAAAGGGGCACATCCCCCCTCAGGTACCCCCCTTGATGAACCTTTTTGATAGGGGGCGGCGCTGAAAAAGTGATCACTTTTTTTTAACAACATTTCTCAGACAATGTTTGGGGTCTAAATAGGACATTTTTGGCACTAAATGCGAGGCCTCAAAGAGGAGGGGTGAGAAGCGGTCAAAACACGTCTATATGAGGTAAAAGAAAAGTCTAATGACTAAAGCGAAGGCCATAATTGTGTTAAAATGGCAGTCCACAGGGCCAGATCAGCCAAGCGTCTGAGAATTATCGTGGTTTCCATGAGGCCACAATGGCACTAAATATTGAATGGGGATTGTAAAATGTAATACAGGCTTGCCAGGCTGTAGCTTACATGTGTATATTTATTACAAAAAGTACACTGGAAAAAAGTAAACATATGGGCAACTAGGAAGTCTGTTCTGAAATGAATAGTTCTGAAATGAATGTTATTCATCACAAAGTTTTACGACTTCTAATGGGCAGAGAATCAATGTAAAATTGTTCCAAAAAGTTTTTAACATACACACAGAAAATATTCCAAATAAAATCAAGTCATTTTTCAACTTGGTGCGATTCTGACTCATAAATATTTCATAATACAAATAATATAGAAATCCGGCGGGAGGGGTACCTTTATATCATCGCCTGCATCTTCTCCCTCCCATTTATCACTCGCACCAACAGTCGGTACCGCGGGCTCAAAGTCATCGGCATCTGAAAATACAATAAAATCATCTATAAAATATGTAAAAAGACAAAACTGCCAAACACTAAACAAAAATATGTGAACCACATGACATTACCCCATTCATCGGCAGACATCTTGAATTAGGTGTGATACCACTATATTTATCGGTCTACTTACATTTCAGTGTTAAGTGACTGTAAAGCTCATAAGGAGCTGCTAAGTTAAGTATGACAAAAATATTATTGGCAGCAACATCAACAACTCTAAAAAGAAGGTAAAATACTCAAGCATACTTAATTTAAGTTATTTTAT